TCCCCGCTGCAAGCACCAAACCCTCCCACGGCGCAGGAGGAGCCCTCGGTGAGCTCAGCACCAGGCGGGTATGTCCTTACGTATTTTCTCTCTGCCAGTACTCATTCATTAGCGTGTGGCCCCAAGGCTGTTTTCACAGCCTGGCTGATGTGTGGCACTAAAGCCCGCGTACAGGTGGGCAAACTTCTTGCCTATTTATTTAATATCTCACTCCCTCTCTGCTAGTGGTTAAATGGCTTCAGGTAACTCATTCAGGTCAGACTTGGACAAGTCAGGTGTGTTTGTTGTTAAAATGCAACAGATGTTCTTTAAATGTATACAAACCTTATTTCAACAAGTTTATATAATAAGACTTACAACTTACTAAACAGTGTATTTTGTGTGGATTAACATTTCCAATTGGTTAAACTTCTCCAGCATTTTGTTTGGAAATAGACAACAAGAAAGAATGTGGAAAGTGTGACACAGATGCACGGCTTGTCCTTTGCTACCATGTGAATGTTGGTGGGGTTTTATTGCCAACAACTGCAATACCAGCGTACCAGCTGTAATATCAGTCACAGCTGGATTTTCGGCCTTGCAACACGCCCCTAAGACAGGGAAGCGCATCCCCATCGCGGTGGGGCGATACCCGCTGCGAGATGGTCCACAGGCTTTGCCCAGCTCGCACGGGAGGGCTGGCTTTGCTTCCTCGCTGTGTCCGAACAGCCCCGTGCCAACCATCGTCATCCCCTCCTGCCTCCCCACCTTGTCCTGCCGCGTTGCTGCAGGACCATCCCTCCTGCTTTTCTCTCTTAGTTCTTCTGAAGCTCCCTTTGCCGCCCGTTCCCTCTGCAGTGCTTCCTGTCCACATCCCCTTTTACCCCAGCTATCCTAGCACTGCCTGGCCCCCCAGTTCTGTGACCTACGACTGCTGCCTCTCGCCTGCCCGCTCTCCCTTAGCGGCACGCTTCTGTTTCCATGTCCTCTGTATCCTCAACACCCTTCTCCCTCCTCACTAGCGTTTTCCTGCCCCTGGTCACAACAGAAATATTGAAGAAAGCCTTTTCTGCCGGCACGTGCTGTATTCCAGCCGGTGCCGCTCCCCTTGGGCCTCCCTACCTTGATGGTGGGGTGGTGGCTGTACGTTGGGGAGAGACGAGGTCCGAAAGAAACCAGTGGTTTTACCCCTGGAGAATGAGGAGTACTCTTTTACCAGTTTTGGTTGGGTTTTTTTTTTCCCCTTTTTGGTTGTTTGCAGCTATTTAATCTGCTTAACGCATCTATCTTCTTACATTCATGGTCATGTTGTCTTAGGCACTGATTTCAATATTAGTTTGTATTTTAATAGATCACAGTTGAGCAGAAACTAGTTGCCATCAATATACACTTCTGTAACTTTATCATTTCACATTTGCATCAGACTGCTTGCTATGGAAACATCATCTAATTTACATCTAAATAGCTTTTACCCAGGGTTTGTTTTTTTTTTTCTATAACACCTGTTAATCATAACACTTTGTACGGAAGTTGCATAGAGTGCCTGCCTTTGCTAGAGAAGTCGTAGCTGAGCGATGGTAATTTAACCTTTTGTTCTCTCCCTGTCGATGCTAGTGATGCCTCGCTGTTCATAAACTGATGAAAATATTGTGCGATGCTTTTGAAGCCCAGCCAAATTATACGAAAGGTTTCACTGCTCGCATTATCTCCGGAGCACAACTGAAACCAGAACGTGGAGGTTTCCTCTCGCATTATGCCAAGCTGAATGCCTCTGTTTCTCAAGGCCATGGAAGCGGGATTGCCACTGTTAGCTGTTTCTGCAGAAAAGATACAAATTTTAATTTGCTTTACCTGGAAATTAAAATGCAGATAAAATTTCAAAAATGGCAGGCGTGGAAGGTCTCGTGGAGGTTTAAGCAGCCTTTGCCATTGTGGCGCTTAGAACCAGCTGGGCTGTCCAATCCGACTTTCCAACGCACGTGAAATGCAGCGTGCACGCTCGAGTCTTGCAAAATAATTCATGAGCTGAAAATCTTGGGGAACAGTTTCCAAGTAATTACATAACTGAAATTCAGGTACTAAATTACACAAACTATGAGAATGCAACTTTTTTTTGGTCTGAATATATCATGCCACAGATTCACAGAATGAATAATATCTCGGGTCTTGCGATGTCCCTTTGGCCCATGTGGTTTTTCTCTTACGAAATTCCTACACTGGCTGAAGAAATACGCAGAAATTTTGCAACTGTTTATACCTGTTGTACTAAATTAAAATATCTATAGCTTGGATTTTCCCAATGCAGCGGTGTCGTGGCTGTGGCATCCGAACAAAGTACCATTCCTCGCCTGTCGTCTCTGGGCCATTCGTGCACTTTTGGTGTCTTATTTGAAATCAGTACGAGGAGGGGAGGGGAGCTCCTGTGTGCAGGGATCATAGCTCACTGGAAAGGCAAAACAAAATCCTTGTTGCATGTCAGGAAGTCACAAGTTCATATTTTTGGAGAAAATGCCTTTCCTATCTTGCTGCAGAAGTAGCATTGTGGTTTGGTTTTTTTTTTTATGTTTTGGGTTTTTTTTCCTGTGGTAAATGCTTGCAGGTCTTATTTTACCTCTGGGTGAGTTCAGCCTAATTTCAAACTGCATTTTCCAGCTAGAAGAATGGTTATCATGATAACATTATCAGGTTATTAACCAAAGAAAGGTGATGCTGCTACGAAAGGTTATTTAGTATAAGTTTTGCGCCTTGGTTGCAGTTCAGTGGGGTGCTGCGATTTTGCTACCTATTTTCTAAAATCGTCATCCTTAATAACTAAACTCGGTGCTGCGGAGCGCTGCCGGCTGGGCGTGTTGATCAGAGCTCGTACACACACCTCTTCAGACTCGTCCCGCCAGCTCGGACCCGCGCGAGAGCCCGATCCACGCGTTTTCCGTTCGGGTCTGTAGCCCAGGAGCCCGCTGGCGAGCGGGGGGCTC